GGAGCCCCCTGCCTGGGGCTCCTTAGGGTCTCCGCTTGTGCGGATTCCCCCCCTTTGCCGCGCGTGGGCGAAACGACTTCGGGAGCGTCCCGAAGATGCGTCCGCCATTCACGAAGTCCAAACCGGAAGCCAGCACAGGCACTATCTTTACTCGTGGCCATTTAATGGTCCTGTGCATTGTTATTTATTTATTTATTTAGAAGACTGTTATACTGCTTCTCCAGGGAACCAGAGCTACAAAGATACTTGATCAACTACTGATTTGTATATATTCAACTGGAGGCCACCAATTTCTTTGGTCATTCTTTCCTAAAGGAAGGCCAGAAGCCAAATGGTGCAAAGGAAAGAATCTTTAATGATTGTATAACCCCCTACATGTTTCACATGCAGCTTCATCTGGGGGGGGGGATCTATCAAAATAATACAAATATAAAAGTATATTTAATACATCATTTTGAAAAACAATTAAAACATATTGATAAAATGCAGGGCATTTTCACAGACCATGTACAGAGTGCAATTCACAATAAGTTATGTATATTAAGACAACTGAACTGGCAGTAGCAACCACTACATATTACAGAACCACATGAAATTCTTCATTTAAATTGTTTAAGAATCATACCCACCTTCCAGGTTCTTTTTAGATCTGTTCCCGTATGTACCTTTCAGCAAAGTGAACTGTCTGGGAATGTCTTAGCTCTTATCTACATAAGCGTCTGCCAGGAGATGTACATACGGGAACAGATCTAAAAAGAATCTGGAAGGTCTCATGACATCTGGCATCCCGTGCTCTAACCAGCCCCTTCGCCAACCAGCCAGGCTAATTATGATACCAACTTGTATTATTAGCGGGGGACTGGGCTCAATCACTATCTCGATGGCCCGTTCTGGAGTTACAAACAGTTATATTCCTATGGTCTATAAGTTACCATCTCGTCATAATGTAGTTTAAACACAGTTTTAGTTTTTAACTTAGATTATATGTAATTGTTTTTATATATCTTGCTGTTGTATTTTTATTTATTTATTTATTTTATTTGTTACATTTGTATCCCGCCCTCCCCACCGTGGCAGGCTGAGGGCAGCCTACAGAATATATATGTGTGTGTGTGTGTGTGTGTGTGTGTGTGTGTGTGTGTGTGTGTGTGTGTGAAAACACCTAAATATATTAAAACACAAGTTACAATTAAAATCACAGCATAAGATCATCAGTGCTATGAACATAGATATTGATACAAGATGGCGGTGTTCTCTCAACATTGGAAGGTCGCCTACCACCATAGTCCAGTTTCCTGCCAGGCTGTTGGTCACTGAGTTAGTGCTGGTGAGTTAGCCAGGGCTATAGTATTAAAAGGCGGCACCCTAATCAAAAGCCTGGCAGAAGAGCTCCATTTTACAGGCCCTGCGGAACTGTAGAATGTCCCGAAGGGCCCTGATGTCATCCGGAATCTCATTTCACCAGTAAGGGGCCACCACAGAAAAGGCCCTGGCCCTCGTCACGGCCAACCTGACTTCTTTAGGGCCCAGGAGGACCAGGAGATTTTGGGATCCCGATCTTAGTGCTCTCTGGGGAACATATGGGGAACTTGCCCTGAGCCCGCTTGTGAAAGTGGGCGGGATAAAATAAAATGCATAAATAAATAAGATTTTTCCCTTTGCATCATTTGTCTTCTCCCCTTCATTTTGCCTTGGTACAGCCCCCCCTTTTTTTCTGCATTTTTTCCTGAAGGCCAAAGGTGCAACTCCTGGTCTATTCTAGTCTGCAGGGCATTCTACACAGGGTGCAGAAAAGAGGCCTTCAGGTCTGGAAACATCTCTTTTATCTCCTCCCTCTTTTATCATCCAACCTGATGAAGAGTTTCGCTGAGCTTGAAAGAACAAAGACTGTTTTGTGTTATCTTGGCTGATCCTAATAAAAGGTATTACATAATGATTGTTTTTTTTTATTTTTCTTTGGATTAATGCCATTACCTGCAAACTCACACATGCAACAGCATATCAGTCTGTGAGCTCTTGGAGAACTTGTACCTATATCTGTTTGTCTGTCTGTCTGTCTCTCTCTCTCTAATTTCAGTATTCAGAAAGAATGTTATCAAATCTCTCAAATAGGTTACAAAAAGGAAAAGGAAAAAGTGGAAAAAGAAGATGCAGATACTCCTTCTGACTATTTTCTGACCAAAAAAATGGAATTTAGACTATAGTTAAATACTTGGTCTCTTTCCCCCCAAAAAAACCTGGTCATGAACCACACGGTTAACATACATTTTGTTCCACAATATCTTTATTCAAAGCCAGGCCTGCTAAAATTATACAATTTGCTATGCTAGCCTTCGCGGAATATTTTGAACATTTTAATTAACTGGAATGCTTAGGTGGACATTTTTTTTTTACCTCAGACTACACTTGAGAAACTCTGTTACACAACCTGTAAACAGCATGCCGGAGTGACTGTAGCACAGCACTGCTTTTATCTGTCCGCGAACACACCGTCCTTCCTCAAAGACTACCAAGGCTTCCCATCACGTTTTGAGCAGCTAAGACTTATAATTTAAATTGTAAGCTGGATATTTAAATGGAACTGAATTTGTGATCTTTGTCACCTCATTTCCATGAATGGGAAAGAATATTCTGACACAAAAATTACATACTTAATTCCACCTCACCTTCTTCGCTGACCTCCATCCCACACTGCCTTGGGTTTATTTCCTCATCCATCAGAGGGTCAAAGTAATTTCGGCTGCATTCATTTCCTGTGGAAAGTACATGAAGTAAGGGTCAGTGATTATTAGAAGCACATGAACCAAAATGTTAATTTTGAAATTCGACACCCGCACGCAACTGGGGCATTTCTGCTACTACTTTATAAGATATTTTTTTTTAAAAAAAAGACTTCTAAACTGACTGGTTTCATAATTATCATCTAGGGAAAGGTCAGAAAAGGTAATTTTGGATACAAGTTCACTTTATGTTACTTGGGCTCTAAACCTAATGAGAAAATTCTCAAATGTAGATGATAGGCTGATAAAAAAAAAACCCTTCAACCTAATCCTAAACCAAAATTATTCTTGAGACAGGCTCTGAAAGTGACTGTTAAGGAGATTGTGTTTCACAGGTGACCTCTTCATTTTTTTTTTAACAGTTTCAAGTTTCACCAGTGAGCTTTCAACATCTGGTGCATCTTTAATACTATTGTCAACCATGGAAGTGTTTAATTACAGAGGAGACGCTGCAAATGCTGCCTCATTAATCTGAACAGCAATTGTATTAACTTGGGCTCCGCATCCGCACCATGGTTTTGATGGAATAAAAACACTCATTTAGCAGTTTCAGTCTCCAAAGATGGCCGGTATCTAGTTCTCCAGGAACTAATCACAAGAAAAAGGAAATACATTAAACTCAGCAAGTAATGTGCTGCACAAAGTTGTCATTGACTGGAATCATATAAGCTAAACTGGTTGGCTTTTTCTAGTTTTCTACTGCAGTTTCTTGTGTTACTGAAGTTTCCAGTTACTGAGATGAGCCTCCACTATTTTTCAGGGCTGCTGCATTAAAATGAACAGATTATCACACACACACACACACACAATTCCCTTATGTATTAGCCATTTCCAGCTCTCCCATTGGCTGTGCAGTGTGCTCCATCAGCCATTGGGCCCATCAACTGCCACTCAAGAGTACTCGTGTGCCACTGGCTGGGTGCTGGATCCGCTCCTCTCCCCTGCCCACTGCCAGCCTGGACGCTCTT